CTAACATATTCCATCAGCAATCTTCGAATATTACAAAATATATGAAAAACTTTTCAAATTTTTGAAAAAAATCAAGAATTTCAAATTTTTAAAAAAAATCAAGAAATTCAAATTTTTTAAATGCTAGATATAAATTTAAAAACTCGGTTAAACTTCAGCTGGTGGTCAGGATGTGGTGGAAATTCAAATATGTTTTACTCTTACGCGCATTGTATGTCAGTTTGTGGAATTTACGCTGACAATCGCACTTCCTCCAACAAAATGACCTTTCCGCGATTCATCCCTGAACCAAAAATCAATCGTATCCGTCACGTAAATGGTTTCACGGTTTGATTATGAAAAGAGAAAATTTGAAATTTCATTCGCAACTTGAAAATATCTGACTGATAAAGACATTTTTTCTAAAACGAGCGCTTAAATTTTCAATAAATTTTTATTTAAATGTAAGCTTTCTTCCAAAATTATGATATATTTCTTTTTCCATTTAAAATAAACAAACGAATCAAAATAAAAGTTGGATAAAAAAGTTGCGAAGGAAAAAATAAAATTGAAAAAATGATCAAGCTAAACTTTAAAAATTTCTGAAATTTTTAATTTCGCTTTAAATTTTTGCTGAATTAAAACTTATGATCAAAATTTTCTTTTTTTGATACGATGTATCGATTTTTTATTATTTTTGTTTATATTTCTTCAGTTGAATCAAACTGTATCATCAGGAAAAGAACGAAAGTACCATAATTTATTTGCAACTTCCTCGAGTGATAATGACAGAGGACTTCAGAGAAGTCGTTTACAATATCGCAAACCGTTACCCGAAAAGGTACTTTTATACTTTCTCAGATATTGCATTCATCCAAGAACTTTGAGTACGGAAAATCTAATCCTATCAATCATTTCGATCTGTGCGCTGTTCGTAATTGAGAACTGATAAAATTTGAATGTGAGAAAGCCGATCGGATGGAATTTATTAAGTAATCTTTCAGAACAAATGATATGTTTTTATCAATGAAAGTCAAACAGACATATCAAGCATTTCATTCAATTTAATAAATAATTTTATGCACAGAGAAATTTATGCACAGCAATGATTTTTTAATAATTTCAGAGATTGCGACCAATTAATGTTCGAAATGATCAATATGGAGATGCGCAATTAGCTAGAAGATATCAATATCTTCAATACAATCCATCTAAACATTCGATAGTGGTTTCAAATCGTTTTAAGCAAGAACCAAAGCGAGAACATAGTATCCGCATGATGGTACGTAAACGTGGACGTGTGTCAGAAGCGTCAGATAAGAAACGCCAGGAAAAGATGGTGACCGGTGGGGTGCGAACTGGACAATCAAGAGAGCAAGCAATCTATTCAAGACCTCAAGAAATACGACAAAGTAGTCCAATTCGAATTAATCAAGCAACTTATTCGCTTGGCATAACTGTAACCCCGTCATCTGAATATCTATGTGAAAAACACATTGAAACATATATTCAACAAAAGCAAGCTTATGAACGTTCACATGCTGAAGCTTTACGTGAACATGACAGATTAATACAGCAACGTCGTCGTGATGAGTATGAACAGATGTTGAAATATGCGCGAGAATTGCAACGGTGCCAGCAAGCTATTCAGTCGGCGCACAATCGCGTACCAAAAGAACGAGTGCAAATAAACGATGCAAATGTCGCGCGACAACAACAACAGTTATGGTCACAAAGACAATACTTAAAAGCGGGACAAGATCAAAATGCCGCAGAAGTTAGACGAACAAAACTGAAACATCGAAAACTTTTGAATTTTGAAAAGTTGAAACAAATAGAAAAAAATCGAAAACTACTGAAAACAACTCCAAAATCACTTCAACTTAAGCAGTGGTTGCAACAACAACAACAACAACAACAACAACAACAACAACAACAACAACAACAACAACAACAACAACAAGAACAACAACAAGAACAACAACAACAACAACAACAAGAACAACAACAACAACAACAACAACAACAACAGCAAAGTGAAATTCGATTAGAAAAAACCATTCGAGAACAACAACAATTGCAACGGCAAATCTGGTCTGATAAGATGAAAGAACAGAAAAAAGACAGTCAAAGAATTCAAGCTGATCCATCAAGAAGATCGTCCTATACATCTCAACCTGAACATCAACAACAAATACAATCCTACCAGACTTCTTCAGATTTTTATGAGAACCAAGATCAGAGAAAGTTGACTATCTATAATAAAAGCAATACCGGTATGAGTGTCAGCAACGAACTCTCGATGAAGTCAGAACTTGATAGCCGTCCAGGTTTCTTTCTTTCTTTTTTTTTTTCAAATTATTGAATGTATAATGGTGATTTATTGGAATGTTTTATGAAAATATTACACTTTTAATTGAGGTCATATGCATTCACATAACTTCAAAAATAATAGGCTAAACTTGATTTAGAATACAGTATCTTTAGTAAGTGAAGTACCGAGTATTTCGCGAAATCCGGTTAGCATTGAACCGGGATTGGATCAAAGTGATGTAAATCAGTCATCAAACGACGGAAGTTGGCATCGTAGTCAGATGCAACCAAATATAGAACACTTTCCGTTTGAAATGATTCTCACTGCGGACCGAGTTTCGGATGGACAGGATGTTCACGTTACGGAGATGATAAATGCGATACCGTCACCAACCGAAGATTTTAATCAACAAAAACAGATGGTTACCATTGAAGATTACGAAGAAGAAGATTATACATATAATCAAGAATCTGAAAATGGTATGTTTGCATACATCTTCTTTATTTATACATTATTATCTCTCCGCACATGTCTTTGAATTTATATTTTAAACTTAATTATGTAAATTAGCGCAATGATAACTTGATTTCTTCTCTTCTAAATCCTATTGAAATTGCTAAAAATTCGAAAAAATTATCGAATCGTTGATCTCAAAACTTTCACTCGTACGGAAGCAACATTATTATGCATAAAAATTTCAGGTTTGAAAAAATGTTTCTAATTGGAAAAACGTATAAGAATGATACATTCATAGCATATTACTATCATAATGCAAATTCAAACAAATTTAAATTTCAGAAGATCATCTGAGACACACTTCAGCAGAATTTGTAGAAGGACGATGGACAGTAACATTAGCTGTACAGCCTACTTCTCCCTCGTTAACTTTTCATTCCATTGATTCTTTTACCGATGCACCGGAAACAGAAACAGTTACTGATACAATGGCGGCACAGATGGAAAAACGGAAAGAATCAGGAACGGAAACAGATATAATAGAGATTATACCGTCAAAGCATGATAGTGAGGATCATAACATGAAAATTTTAAAAAGTGAAAATGAGATTGAGGAAAATGATGATGAAATTATGTTTTGGTAAAAGCAAAAATAACATATAGTAGAATAAACTTATTATGTGAATAGGTAGGTGATATTAGCATAGCTGCTAAAAATGATTAATTTAAATTTTATGTATGCGGTGTTTTTGAAATGTTATCATTGATTTGAGTTTTTTCAGCTGTAAAGGAGGATTAGAAAAAATTGTAGCCATTGAAAATGTTCCATCAAATACGACAATATTGCTAAGTGGAATTCTGTTGTTAGCTAAGCAAAAACACTTTTACTGAAGTAATTACGGATCTTCAGGTATCGAGAATCTGTTGAAAACTTGCAAATGTACATTTTCCAATGATCAAATTTAGAAATGAATAATCGGTTCCGAGTTCAAAATTATTCAAATTGTCAAATATTTATTTCAGAGAATGAAATTAGTTGTTTCAATGCATTACTTTCATCCTTTAAAATTCACACTTATTGTCATTTTCATTTTCTCACAATGCTTGTTGGGTCTTTCTGATACAATGACATATTGCCGAATTTATTGTTCTAAATGTTTGCATCATTATGCTAATACACGTGATATTTATGAAATGAAGTGCACGATGATGAAATATTGCATTTCAGTATGCACTTATATACACCCGAGAATTGACTCTCGAAAAATTAGGAGCTGAAAAGCAAACACGATAACCAGTTTACTTTGTAAAATTTTTACGACATAATTTGCGCATTGTGATCAAATTTAAATACTTTATGAAATTGAGGAAAAGGAAGCAGAAAACAGAATAGTAGATTGTTCCATTTAATATTTTAATGAAGCTAAATTGAATTTTTAAAAATTTTAAATGCAATAAACTATTTATGGAAGAAAATGAGTGCAATGTGCGTTTTCAATATCATTTCACATATTGTTGTTTGCGTGAAACGGTTGAGCTGAGCATAAGGGTGTAATAAAATAACGCAAAGCAACAAGAATGATTTACGTAGGTACTTTTTGTCTACATTATTTAATTAATTTAATTTGTGTCACCTAATTAGCACTCATCTTCTTCTCACTCTTTACCCATTTCATTGCACTTCGTATTTTAATAGCTTAAAAAGACTGGTGGAAATATATAATTTTATTCTTGAAGATGAAAACTGAAGAACAATTTAAAGCCTGATGACAGAATAAGTAATTAAAATGGATGATCGATCTTGCGTTTTTTGCATTTTAATAATTTGCAAAACGTTTGGATCAAAATATTATTCATTAAGATTTCATTGCTAATCTTTCAGGTGTTTCACACTGCTCTTTTGTGACATATTTTCTGAAAGTTACCCATAATCACTGTATCCAAACCGTTATCTCTTTATGACATATCTTCTAAGAATTGCCGATAATTACTCCATCTTAGATATAAAAAATGCTCATCAAACTATTTCTGACAATTAAAACTGTAATATTTGACATGTAGTTTTGTAATAGCTATAGCTTTACAGAGTATTGAAATGAGCCAAGCAAAGGCAAGTTTTGCTCGAAAATTGGTTCAGCAGCAAATCGATAAGAAAAATTATAACCTACAACAAGTTGCTAAATTATTGAAGCAAAGTTTTGATATTGCATATGGTATCGGTTGGCAATGTATCGTTGGCAATAGTTTTGGTTGCTATATAACACATTTACCCAATTGTTTCCTGTATTTTTCCATTGAACCATTTTCTGTGGTACTTTTTCGAACGAATTTGACTGGTTTGATATTGTAAAGAAAAAGTTCGTTCAGTTTACAATTAAAATATTTCACTGAAACATTCATTGATTTTCCTAATCATTCCAATTCGTTAATTTCATTTATATTCCAAATTCAATGCTAATTATTTTTTGATTTCTCAATTGAAATCGTAAAATTAAATGATATTCTAGCACTGTTTAAATCGCAATTTTTATTTTAATCCTATCAGAAATTGTGTGCACAGCGAGAAATTCGTTCCATCTTTCAACGAACTCTTTTTTATATGCAAATATTCGTTGATATGCTGTAAATGTTAAATAATAATCCTGAAAAGATTCAAGATATTTCAGAACTTTTTCTCCAACTCCCGGTGCTTTTTGTATCCTTTTAAAATCAATAAAAGCTGCGACAATTCATTATAGTACGGCTCTAAAAATTAACACAAAAATTAATGCTTGGAAATAATTAGCCAATATTTATACAAATAATAGCAAAAGCTAACAACATATTAAATGTATTCATATCATTGTAACCGGGCGAATAATGTAGTTTATCATTTTGCAATATTTGAATGTTCTCGATAAGCAGATATCACAGGAATATTAATTAGCATAAATCTGAATATAATTCATTTCATACTAAATATATATTATGTAATTCTTTGAATTTCTCTTCGAACTTTTGAAAATATATATGTCCTCGTGTTTATTCAATTTTTTTGAAAAAAAATTTCAAGTGGTTATTTAAAGAGAAATACGAACAATACAGTATTCACAATGCACTAATGTCTCTATTCCATTCATTGCATCAATTCAAAACTCTAACAATAAGCATTACAATTGATTCTAACTTAGCGTATTCAGTATTTTTGGCTAAAAAAATACTCGAATAAGCGGTACGGTACATTGGGAGGTAATTACGGTAATTAAGAATTGTTTATTTATTTTGCATGAATTTGCTATTCTGTAACGCATTCCATTTGGAAAAATTATGTTAATTTCTTTTCCTTCTGTTATTTGAAAAAAAAAAAAAATGATTTGAATTTATCCATTTTCAAAACGTTAAATTTTTTATGCTTTCACGGATTTCATTTTGATATTTTGCATTCCCGTTCATTTTCTCGAGTTTTTATATAGCATAGCAACATTGAGGACACAAAAAAAAATCTTTCATAGGCACAAGCTATCACTGATTTGAAAGCCACAAAATGCTGTGCGTTGCTTTTGATTTTCAATATATTCGAACCGATTTAAAATGGAAAAATATTCATCGTAAAAAGAAAAAAAGCGTCGTAAATTAATGAAACAAAAGCATGTCAAAATATTTTCTCAACTTGAATTATTCCCAAAAAATAATTCCTCTAGAATATTCTTTTATAATGCAAATTATATCATGATGACAACAGGATTTATGTTATGTCACGTTTGTCAGATGACAGTAAATTGGAATTAAATGAAATGAATTGCTTAATTATTTCCGAACAGTCGTCAAGCCTAACATGGTTAGCAAATCTTCCGGTACACATTTGCAGTCATGAGTTAAGTTGTCACCAAAGTTTTTGCATTTTCCTTTGCAAAAATTTAAATTATCGGTGCATTTGCTGTGATTTACATCATAGGAACAACCGTGAACCTGAAATTTCGTAAAATTTTACAACAATAATTTTTTTCATTCTAATTTACGGTATCCATTTAAATTTCGCATTTACTAACTAATTTTTTTTTTGAAGTTACATCATAAAAAGAACTAACTTTGAATGTTGTAACAAAGAATTGCAATTTTGACTGATAAAATTGAATGATACACAAAAGGAACTTGAAATATTTTAGGAAGATCGGTTTAACTCACTAAATAAAATTACACCTTTTTCCCGGTGGGTAATTAATATTTAAATATTATTCCAATAATGGAGAATTCATTGAGTAGCATCAATTTGTAATTCAAATAATTTTACCATAAATCTATTTTTGTCATTAAGAATATTAGCTCCGAATAATTTTGGAGCCAAAGCGCTGCTATCTAATGCTTCTTCTTCCGAACTGTCAAGCAAAAGGCCACCGTTCAATAAATCCACCATAATCTCGTTGCTCTGCGGAATTATACGGTCACTACCGTACAGTGGTACGAACATACGTGGCATTACACCTGTAGGAAAATAAATTATCTTAAATTAAATTGTAGGGAAATTTACTATAATTTTTAATTTTTCAAACATCTCAGTAAGTTTAAACAGTTACTTTATCTTTTTTTGAAATTCACGAAGAAAATATCAATGAAGTTTAAATACTGGTGTATGGTCTTCTATTGTAGTTTTGTAATTGATAGTCCGGATATAAATTCCACTGTCCAGCGAGCTTTTGACACGATACTCCGGTCAATATAATATTTGCACATCGTCCACCATATCCTAATTTTATCATCAAAAATAAGATAATAAGTCATACTTCACAATATTCAGATATATGTATTTAAGGAATGAGATTATTGACAGAGTGTGCTATTGATTTAATTTATTTGTAATTAGTTCATATACAAAGCTCTAAAAATAATTTGACTATAATCTAAAAAATTTTGAAAAATTTTTTCAACTTTAAATTATCAAAAAAAAAAAACATAATCGCTATCGTACTCTGTAAAATACCAATAAAATAAATGTCTGCAAAATTTTGAAGCTTTGAACGAAAAGCAAACAAGTTGATATGATGAAAAAAATTTTTTTAGAAATAAAAAAGAACCTTGATATGGATATGAATTATATGTTTCATACGGAGGCCAAGCTTGTCCAACAATAATTGTTGTTAATTTGATGATAGTGATAATAAACAGGTTTCTTGTATTCATCGAAAGTATTAGAATAAAAAATTGGAATATCATGAAACACGCTCAAAGGTTATTGAAATGAATGAGAATTTAAGATGGAAGAGTGGAAAAAGAAGGATCAGATGAAAATCGATCTGACACACACACACACACACNNNCACACACACACACACACGCACACACACACACACACACACATACACATAATGAGAATTCAAAATGCACGGAAGAAATGTTCGACAAAAGGCTTATGGAAAAATTGAGGTCAAAGAGGTATTTTATTTGAGATAATTAGAATTTTCAAAGTTCCAAGATTATGTAAATGGTTTGTTCAAATTTAAACTTCAAAAATCAAAACTAATCATAAAGAACTTCTGATTCTATTAATTAATATTCATGCAACCTATATGAATCCCATGTCAAAACATTTGTTAAAAAAACGGATCACTATCTTTCATTTATCCAATCTATAAACAAATTCAAGTATGAAATTCAGAGAAAAAAAAAAGCGAAAGACCTTCTTCAAAATTGCTGAGAGCAATAATTGAATTTCAATAGTTCATTATGGAAATCAATTTCAGATATGATGAGGGAAGGTGTAGCAGTTGGTTAAAAAGGTGTGAAAGGATTGTCAGCTTGTTTGCCTTCATAGATTCATTCTATATTGGTTCAAGGTTGAATATTTTCCATTATTCTTCCGTATTTGAATAGTTGTTATTGACCTTGTTATAAAAAAAAATGTAAATGCAAAGATGCATCTTGCAAATTTCATATAATTTTAATTGTTTTCCAAACTCATCTCGATATTTATTATTTCATATTGTTTATTTCCGGATTTTATTTCTAATGCATATCAATATTTTTTTTATTTTTTTGGATATTCAAAGAATTAAATTATCAGACAATAATAATCGGAATGAAGAAAAATAAAATGAAGAAAGATAATAAGGGAGGAAATTTTACTTCAAACCGAAACATCAATTACAATTACTGTACAATTCAATAAAAAAAGATGAAATAGCAATATCATCCATTTAGGATAGTTCTGGAAGATGGATCATTCCAGTAGCAATCAAAATTACTTAGCTGAATCTTAAGATTTCAACTTTTTCAATCATTCCACTAAGTTCATTCCTACAGCATGCTCAATTAATCGATGAATAAAATTTACATTTCTTTTGAAATTTCTGAAAATCTTCGAAATAAAATAAAATTCATTTGAAATTTGAATGTATTCATATGAAAATATTATTGAATAAAATAATCATATGACTTCAGCTTGCAATGAATCAGTTTCGTTAAGTAGAAAATAGTGAATTCGAAAAAATACAGAAAGATGCTCTCTGGAAAATATGCTCAAATGATTAGCTTCTTCTATATAAAATGGTGGAACAGCACGTGGAAATCGTTTCACCAATATTTCACTGTGACTTTTTGGTATGACATCATCCATGCAACCGTGACAAATTAATACAGGAACATTAACTTCTGGTGCTCTATCGTAACTTTAAATAGCAAAAAACAAATTAAATAAAATAAGTAGAGAAACAAAATAATAACTTAAAAATTTTTTTAAACAATTTAAAATTAATAATCAAAATCAAATTCGGAAAAAATCTCACGATAAAATATAATTAGTTTTTGTGAAAAAAGAAAATTACTTGAAAATTTTCTAATTTATTTGTATTAGTATTGTAGATTTATATAAACCTAAAATTTCTTACAGTTTTTAAGAACTTTTGAAGCAATTTAACAACTTCAATTTGAATATTTCAATTTGAAAGTTAAAAAAAAAACACCTTAAAAATCGATCCATGCAAGATGTTTCATTGGTATTAATGAACAATCTTAGAGCAGATGCAAACGGTGCAACGAGTACTATTCCACAAAGATTTGGCGGATGTTTGGAAGCCATATAAACCGTTGGTACTGTACCAATACTGTAACCAAGTAATGCAATCTGGAAGCTATTTAATTAATTATTCATTAACTGTGGATATCGCTTTTTTGACTCATTATTTTATCTTTAGGCATTTTGGAAATTTATTAGAAATTAAGAACTGAGAGCTTATTTGGAAATTAAAAATCTAAATGCTTAGCGATGATAGCGGTGAGTGAAATGTTTGTTGATTCATTCAGATTTTTCTAATTTTATAAGCAAAGCTATTGCAAAGTTTTAAAAATAAACCAATTCTCGTTTCCTTTTTCTTATTCAAGTTTATTTCAAAAAAAAAAAAATTATTGTAACATTATCAATTTATATTTTCTTCTATGAATCCTGATTATGTGTTAGTTAATGATCGATAAGTAATTGGTAAGTCCATTATGTGTTAGCTAGTAATTGATAAGTTGCGGACTGAGATAATGAAGTTGTAAGTGAGTTTTTTTATAAAATTGCTTTTTAGCAGAAGATGTAAATTTATGGCTTACTCGAACATGTGGTCCTTGAGATTCAGAAACATATTTATATGCGGCTTCAATATCAGCATAAATGTTTTTTTCTGATGGACTACCAGTGCTAATACCATATCCGGAATAATCATAAACATACAAATCAACTTTCAACAGTTCAGATATATGGCTAAAAACATTGTATGGTTCAAAATTTTTTTTTTTTAATTTCTTTAGTTAAAAAAGCTAACTGAATATTCAGAGCAGTGCACGCAAAAAAAGTGAATGTTGTACATGACTGAGCAATTAGCATACATATAATTCGATGCTAACACCTGTTTAATCATTCATTTTTGTTCTATTTGATAGTTTAATCTTTATAGGCATTGCAAACCTTGGCTAAAATTATAAATTTATCATCATATGCATTGTATTTCATAGAGTTACGGTATTTTAGGGTTGGAGATGAGATGTTAGATGTCAGTGGATAATTTAAATTTCGACTTCCTATTAATAGATATTTACCTAAAATTAAGTCCTTGCGGCCGAAAAAAGCATCCCAAATCAGAGCTGTTTGGTTGCGAAAACAATACAACCTAAAAGATCATTGCTGCTTGAAAAAAATATACAATTTAAAATAAACTTTGCCAGAAATTTCATTGAAAATGTCTATAATTGAGAGAGAGAGAGAGAGAGAGGGAGGCTTGAAAATGTAAAGACTATTGATTTCACATGAAAAGAAGGAATCGGTCACTGATCGATCACTGATTTAATCTTTATTATGAATACTCTGAAAGTCGGCAAAAATAATCTGAACTAAAAAGAAAAAGCAAGAAGAACAGTGCAATACCTCCAATATCATTATAAACAACAGCTTCTTCTTCTTCTTCTCAGATATCTCTTAAATCATTAGGATTTTAAAAAAAAAAAAATTTTATATCTATTAAAATATCCTACCAACTTTTCACACTTATCACTTGATAAATTATTGCTGATTCTCAAAATTGGTAAATATGAGCTGCGTCTTGTTCTAATTATTGACATTTCAACATTTTCCGTTAAAATTAGTGATCCTTCATCGAGTTGCTGTATTTCAAATTTCAGTGATTTAAGTTGAGATGCCTGAAATTTTAAACATTTATTTAATGAATTTTGGAAAAAGAAATGGATTATTTATCATTATTCTGCTATCATAAATTATCATAGTTTTACGTATATTTTTCAATTTACCTTTTTAGCATTATTTGTTCTTACAAGATTATTGTGCGCATCCATTCCGCATGCAACATATGTTTTTCCTTTATTTAGCGGATGAAATGCTAGTTTTCGAACAATCATTTCTGGTATTGGTGGACAACAAAAGAAATAGCAAAACATACCAGTAAACTAGAAATAAAATCAATATAATTGAAATTAATTAAATGCATTTGCGACTTTAAATGAGAAATGAAATTGCAAACGGTTTGCAAAGAAGTATAACTCGAACTTTCAGAAATAGCATGCAAATTTGACAGCATCCCTCTTTTTTTGGTGCTTCTTGAATCTTTTCCGATTTTACATCATGAAATTCAAGATGATTCCCTGGTTGTGCTTTCACGTATTCCTCTTCCTTTCCATCATTTTCTTTCAAATTCTTAAAATTTAATGAGGTTTATTAACTGATTCGAATTTA